GGCCTTCTTCTGGCCCGGAACAAACAGATGTGTGCCTAAAGTGGCCCACTTGTAAAATAGCAAATATGGCCCACATATCCCAAAGCAAATGTGGGCCTTTTTTGGTAAAGATGCGGTGCTCCTGCAATGTGTAATCTGGATGTCACCCTAAAGTGGCCCATATGGGAAATGGTGAATATGGCCCAAATATCACAAAACAACTGTGGGCCACCTTTGCCAAATATGTGGCAGAATGGACAAAGGCTAATCTGGGTGTAAACCAAAAGTGGCCCATATATGATGAAGCAAATGTGGCCCAGTTATCTTAAAACATATCTGGGCCAGTTTAGGCAAAGATGTGGCACAGTAATCCGGATGTGAACCTAAAGTGACCTACATATGACATGGCAAAAATGGCCCAAATACTTTACAACAAATTTGGACCACTTTTGGAAAATGTAAGGCACAGTCAGCACTGGCTAATCAGAGTGTGAGCCTAAAATGGCCCACATTTGACATGAAAAATATGGCCCAAATATAAAAAAACAGACGTGGGCCACTTGTGGTAAGGATGCCGCACAATTGGTACCGGCAAATCTTGATATGAGCCTGAAGTGGCCCACAACTGATGCAGCAAATGTGGCCCGGTTATCTTAAAACATATCTGGGCCACTTTTGGTAAATATACGGCACACTTTTGGCGAGGATGCAACACTTTTGGCACAGGCTAATCTAGATGTGAGCCTGAAAAGGCCTGCATGCGTATAAAATGTGGATTGGACTGCCGTGTGATCCGAGATAGGGTTAGGGTAGGGGTCAGCAACCTTTACTATCTTAAGAGCCAATCTGCCCTCACTTCCATCAAATAAATGTTGTCTGGAGCCGCAACACATATTTATACTACACTATACTTTATACTATATGTACAAAAACTAAAGTTTGTCGCATTTATCAAATTATAGAACGACTATAAAGAGAACTCTTGACATGTGTGTATTTACCCGTTAAAACAAATCAAATCAACAAACTCTTATGAAGAGAAAGTTTGCAATAAATTATACACTTTCCAGAACTTTCTGCATATTTGTGAAATATTAATACAATAGAAATTGATCACTTACAAAAGTATCAAACTTATTTTACTGAGACTTTTCTTATTCTTAGTAAGTAAAGAGAAACAATAATCCAGGGTTAGCTCACTGAGCCGCTCTGGAGACGGATGTGACGTGTATTTCACTCATCGTAGGCCGGATACTCAAACTCTTTTTTACTTTCAGTGTCACTGTATCACCTAGATGTCCCTTTGAATGTTTGTCCCCTGCTCAAACACATATCAAATAACTAACTGCTACTAATTTCCATGTTATTTATTGTCAAAGCTCCAGGGAGCCGCTGTAGATGGGAAAAGAGCCGCATGAGGCTCTGGAGCCGTAGGTTGCAGACCCTCGGGTTAGGGTTTGTAGGGACCAGAAGTTTATCCTTGTGAAGGTTCCCTGATGCTAAAAAGAGAATTGTTACAATCAGTGTTCTTTTTTTAAATTATTATTTGGAGTATTGCTGGTTTAGACAGGCGCAGTGGAGAGAGACATATGCAGCAAAGCGCCTGGGCCGGATTCAAACCCAAACCACTGTGGCTAACATGGTACGTGCTATATGTGTGAGCAAACACACAGAGATAATGTAATGTGAATCTCGCAATATTTGACCCCAGGTCAGTGTGACCATTATTGTTTTGGGGGGGGCTTTAATGTGCTTCTAAATGGCAATCTTGTTTTTATTAATATACAGTAGCTCTTGCATATGCTATAGTCAGTTGACTTACTATGTTTTATATTGTGTAAGTGAAGTGTCTGAGTGATTAGGTTCAGACTTGTGAAGTTCACTGTTTTATGGTCTTGATCTTTGAATGTATATTGTAGAATGTAGAAGACAAATGTCTTCTTGGGACAATAAACTGGGTGCTAACAGGCCATGTGTGATCTAACTTCTAGATTGCTCCACAAGTATGGGTTGGAAGTGCGGGCAGCAGGGGATACAAATGCAGTCAGACAGGCAGACTGAAGCAGTGCAATGTTTTATTGTAAATTAGCTTACGGCAGATGCAAGTAGGCAAACAAGCAGGCAGGTGAACGGGTAACGGGTAGATAGACAATATGCAGGGAGGTAGGTAGGTTCTGGTCCAGGATCGGGTGACCGAAGTTCAAAAGCAAAAACTCAAGACAGCTATATATAGCAGCTGGAATGAAATGGCAAAGAAAAAAGGATCTTGACCGGTACATGAAGTGAGTGGCTGATGAGAGAAGTGAGAAAAGGTGAGCAGGGGAATGATGAAGTCTGGTGAAAAAGTCTGAGGGCATCAGATGGCTCGAGTATGGCAGGTCTAGGGAGAAAGTTCATGGCCTGGGAGGTGAGCAGGGGCTTGAGACAGGGACAGATCGTAAAGCAGAGGGCAGGGGATGAGAGAGTGTGGCTGGAGGAAGGGACTTGGAGGCAAACTGTGACAATTTGTTGATCCTGAGGTTGACATTCTAACACCAATAAATACAAAATAAAACAATGTTTTAATTTGTCTTAAATAACTATTATCATTTTTATTAATAATGAATAACAATACCTTTCTTAAAGAAAACAGTTATTAATATGTTTTTCTGACATTAACTTTGTCATCCCATATTTAAACTATGCTGCATTCGTGGGAACTAGGAAGTCCCAATTTTAAGTTGGAAAAAGCCTATGAATAGCCTTCAAGTTCTTTGTTAGAAATACAGATTTATTTTCTTTTTTTGTTCAAATAAAATCAAATATTTTCAATACTACTATGGGTCTTTAGCCCTATTGTATTTGTAGTTGTATCTTCTTGCTGTCTTGTGGTTATGTATCCGTGGGAATTAGCATCATTTCAAATTGGAATTATCCCATTTCCGGGGCCTTTTGAATGCAGCATATCTGACTTGAAGCAAGCGCGAAAAAAAAGCGCCATAGAGACCGAAGTCAGTTGGAAGGATTGTCGGTGGAAAACTTTGCAAAAGTGGAGTCACGGTAAGTTTTAAATGAAATGATAAACATGACTTTCTGCTGGCAATCGGTATCTTAATCTATATTCTCAGTTGGAGCTAACTACAGATCTTTAAGCTAATATTCTCAGTTGGAGCTAACTCCAGATCTTTAAGCTAATATTTTCAGTTGGAGCTAACGTCATTTAAGCTAACATTCTCAGTTGCAGCTAACTCCAGTCAAGCTAATATTCTCAGTTCGAGCTAACTCCAGTTAAGCTAATATTCTCAGTTGCAGCTATCTCCAGTTAAGCTAATATTCTCAGTTGTTATGCTGTAATATTAGAGTTAGCTACAAACTGAAAATCCAACAGGTAGCCTAGTGAAGTAAAGATAATCGTTTTTGTTATCCCCCAGCAATATCTGACTTGAAGCAAGCGCGAAAAAAAGGCGCCCTCAAGACCGAAGTCAGTTGGAAGGAGTCTTTCACACACACATATGGGTTTTGGGCCGAGGGCGACACCGTACTTCCGGTATCCGCCATTTCACACGAGGTGCAAGCAGAATATCATAGTCTATTGCCTTAATCAATATCTAGTCAACTCTAAAATACCACATATATGCATTGGCATGATAATATTATTGTGACAAGTGGGGTATTCACCTGGTGTTTCCAGAAGATAGACGTAGATGCTGCCAAAATCGACCGAAGGCCACTTTCGAGAGTTGTTTTTCCATACATCTGCAGGCAGTCTGTAAGGGCAATCGGACTACCCACACAGCTCTAGTTTACGCTGGTAACGACCACCCATCAAGTCCAGAGATGTAATCCGAAGACATGCAGCGATTTCTTCGGTCGTTAATTCAGAAAAAAAACCTAGTGCGCTCTGCCTGGCTATGTTACCTAGCTGTTTATATTAGCACCTCCAGGATATTAGCACCTCCAGGAAAATGGCGTATTTATATATATATATATGGCGCGCGTTGCATTGTGGGTAGCTCGTGACGTCACTGTGTGTGAAATAATTGTCAGTGGAAAACGGTGCAAAAGTCAAGTCGCGGTAAGTTTGAAATGAAATGATAAATATGACTTTATGCTGGCAATCGGTATCGTACTAAGCTATATTCTCAGTCTCAGTGGAGCTAACTCCAGTTAAGCTAATATTCTCAGTTGGAGCTAACTCCAGTTAAGCTAATATTCTCAGTTGTTATGCCGTGATATTAGAGTTAGCTACAAACAGGTAGCCTACTGAAGTAAAGAGAGTCCCTTAACACTACACTAATTGTTTATCCCCCAGAAATATGTGTAATTCTGTGAATGTAAAACCCACACACCTCAAACTTTCATTATTCCTGTGTTATTTTCCAAAGATAATGTACACTTTTTAATATTGTAGTTAATCTCCTGTAAGCAGTTTGTTTAAATGTATCAGTCATGTTTTTTTTTTTTGTAGAAGCGCACCATTTATTGATTTGTTGTAAAAACGAATCGGAACTGAACTTGATCACAATAATTATTACAGTGCTTCTCAAAGTGTGGTCCGCGGACCACTGGTGGTCCATGAGCGCCCCCTAGTGGTCCGTGAGTATATTGGTAAAATTTCATATTTGAAATAAATAAATACATTTAAGTTTTCCACACTCTCGCGGGAATATCTCCGCAATGGAGCGAGCTTAAGTTTCACTTTCGATTGCATGATATAGCCCAGATAAACACCTTCATCACACATGTGGCCACTTGTTTGTACCATTTTCAGGCGATTTGTAAAAAACGATGTGTTTTTGGATATTTGTGGAGTTAGGTGGTCCGCGAGTGTTTTTTTATTGGTATGAAAAGGTTTGAGAAACACTGCAATAATAGATACAATTCATACCAATTTTGGGAGGGAGTAAGGCATCACATGTTTTTATTTGTAGGAAGTTGTTAAATTATAGCAAAAACCCTGTTACACATTTTGTTTTTGTCATGTAATTTGTTTGTATCATGATGTTTTTTACCTTAACAGTCATATTCACACTATGTTACAGAAATTTGAAGGTGGGCAGAAAATAGTGGTAGAGTGGCAAGTGCACGATCACCATTAAGGTAAGCTGCTTCCATGTGATACATTTCGCTATACTATATGAAGTATCAATGTTAAATGTTGTTTCTTCTTTCTTTTTCAGAGTACCTGGCTGTTGACGACCTATACAGGTTGGCTAATTCTGAGTAATTGTTGTAATTGCTGTCTCATGGAGAGGGAAAAGTGGAATATCACTCGCAGCAATTTCAGGAAAAGGGCTGTTAAAAGAGTCAACCAGTTGTTGTTGTTTAAGTGTCTGATATAACCACGAATAGTAAGCAATTATATGACAGTAATGATATAACATATGTCAGACACATTTTCAAGCAAGCCTAAAAGATAATGTGTTCAAACTGGCTTCACTCGCTTTAATTGCTCCTTTGAATGTAATTTTCCTCTGTGGTTTCCTACTCAACACATGTTTGTATTGTAATGCCACTCATATTTTATTTTTTATTTTATTTTAAGGTGACATTGAATGCTTTGAAAGGTGCCCTAAAATAAAGTGTATTATTGATCTTATATCTGTGCCTGTATCACACTATTAATGTTCCTTATTTTAGATCTGCACTGTTCTCTATAACATGTTCAGCAGAGCAGGTATTTCTCCTGCCAGATATGGCACCCCCCCTACAACTCTGTCCAGGACAGTCACAACTTCACCACAATCACACTGGTGTTGCATGTTCCCCTCTAGTTTATGCTCACCAAAGCATTTTACTCTGGGCCCTGCAGGTGAAAAACTATGAGGAGGTTCCATATCCGGCAGTGCAGTTGTTAGAGCTGCCGGATTTTGAAGCGCCCCCTGTAATTTTGGCCAGGATAGTCACAATGTCACCAAAATCACACTGGTGTTGCCTGTTCCCCTCTAGTTTATGCTCACAAAAGCATTTCACTCTGGGCCCTGCAGGTGAAAAACTAAAGAGGGGCTTCAAAATCCGGCAGATCAGGTGTTGGTGCTGCCGGATTTGGAAGCCCCTCTTTAGTTTTGTACACTCAAAAACGTAAGTTTATTCCAATACGAAGATTGTGACAGATCTGAAAAACGTGTCCTTAAAACGAGCCTCCTCGCAATTGTATGCACATTATTTATTCAGCCGTTTGCTGTTTAATCTGATATATCATTCAAAAGAGAGAAAAAAGCTTAGAAAAGGGTGAAAAAAGCTTAGAAAACGGCGAACGCTCAATACAGGCGATGACGTCACCTTTGCGCGTCCCCGCGAACAGGGCTTCAATCCACGGCAAGGCTTCAACCTACGGCATAACACCGGGGCCGTGTCTCAATTCAGGGGTTGTATCCTTCGTGGTACGCAGCCTACGCGGTCCACGGAGGACCCAGCCCACGTAGACCGGGTAGGCTGGACCGAGCGGCCTACGAAATGAGACGGTCTAGCCTACGGAGGGCTTCGTATTTACGTCACGTGATACGTGCTGTTCAGTTGCGCTGCTCCAGCAGCCTGCTAGCAAATTCTAACTCAGCTGAAAAGGATCCAGAAACTTTACTTTTTTTTGGAGATCACCGTCGGCGATGAATTAAAGAGGACCATGGCCAGGTAAATACGATGAAGCTGTTCCTTTAGCCCCCAGTAATGTTACATTAGTAAGTTAACAAGAAAATTATATATATATTATATATAGTCTTAATTTTTCTGTAGGCCTACTAATAAAACAATGTTTTTTTAAATGAACAAAAGCATGTTGTATAGATTGATTGTCAACAATAGTAGTATTCTAATCTTAATAGCTGTGATTATAACAGTTTATATTCTTCTTCTTCCCCTAACCCTGCCCAGATGATGTCCCGCTGACCCCAGGTCAGCACCTCCAGGTCCAGCAGCACCGTGACCCCTCGCTCTGCTGAAATACACAATTAAAAATGTTCTATGACCTTTTTTTGTATTAATTAAATTAAACTGAAGACAGATTAATGACCTAGAGATAACCTATTATTCCACTGCTTATGTACACATGTTGTAAATAATGGTTTAAACCTCAGTAAATGAAATAAACAATGTGTTTAACAATTACAATTTAATATTGTATTTTCATCTTATCACAAAGTAGAGGTAAGAATATATCCATCCTCTTTCTGCAGCTTCATGTCTTCTATTATTATAACTTTCATCATTGAGACAGAGGAAATCAATCATGTTATTTAACATCACCAGCAGTAACACAAATATCAGCAAAAGTGTGTTTATGGAGTTGTTTATTTGTATTATATGTGCAGCAAGTATATAGAAGCAGCTGTTTGGGGAATCAGACAGACTCAAGCCATAATCGTTAGATATCTATTAAAAGAAAGGACACATACAAAATCAAATTCTGAAAGTAAGACACAAGTCTGTAGGACGGCAGTAAGCAGAGGTCTGGGTGGAGGATGTTCCTGATCGCCGCTTTGCTTTCTCCAACACCTCGGGGGGTCCAGCTGGATGGCAGCTCTGTCCTGATGATCCGCTGGGGTTAGGGGTCCTTCTCCAGCACCTCGGGGGGTCCAGGTGGATGGAGCTCTGTCCTGATGATCCGCTGGGGTTAGGGGTCCTTTTCCAGCTCCTCGGGGGGTCCAGGTGGATGGAGCTCTGTCCTGATGATCCGCTGTGCACTTTTCAGATTAGGGGTCCTTCTCCAGCAGATCCATTTCTCCAGAATTGTCCTAATTACAGAGAAAAACAAGAGAAAAATAAAAAAGTGAATTAATCATATTAAACACAGGGTTGCAGAAGTATTATTGCAAAATGTAACTCAGCATTTCAGACAAACAATCCCTAAAGGATAATTTAAATGTACTGTTCTGGTTTTTTAAAAACTAAAGAGATGAAATGACAGTCACACGTGCATCCCTTTGACAGCACAAACTAACATCAAGCAAAAGGCTGCTGTCTATTTGTGATTGTCTTATTATTATTATGGGATCAGGATACATTAAATACACTTTAACCTAAATAAAAGATGATCAAATCTGGTGGAAATATTGAAAATAGGCTTTTCTTTTGCTCTACCTCAAAGCAGCATGAGCTGAATACAAAGGGTGTAATGTTGTCCCAAAGTTTAATAAACAGTAAAACATTGGAACATGTCAGAGAAATAAATAAAGCTAACAGCAGCTACACGTCAGGGTAGCGTTTTATAAATCCCACCGTACTGTAGGCTATACCGGTCTAAATGTTTTCACTTTGGTCTATTTATGTAATATAAAGTATAACTTAATGCCCCTTGGGTTTGACATGTGGGACGTCAGTTAATTTAAAGTAAGTTAAAACCCAATACTCACATTTATTAGTGATTCCTCCGCTCGCTGGTGCTTTTAAATCCACTCTGCTGGGGAGACCGGAAGCCATTTCATTTGAAAAAAACTCCCTCTTCCCTGCGCGCATTGCACCCTGGGATATGGTAGGCCGCGGAGTGTACATCAGATGTATCCTTCAAATTGGGGAAAAGTAGGCTGCATTCGTGGGCCGCATTCGGAGGAGTCTCGTCTTTTTTTAAATTGGGACAGCCTTCTTTCGGCGGAAGTGACGTAAGCGGTCTACGAATGCACCCTTCGAAGTATGCAAGCCATGAATTGAGACACGGGGCCCTTCTCACTTCGGTTAAATGGGGCCCTTCTCACTTCGGTTAAATCGATTCCTTGCGTCCCTCACTTGCGTCGTTTCCCTGTGACTAGTCCCTCCCACCAGGGAAGCATGGAGAGATGCAAGGAAACTACGAGAAGCAGGGAAATGAGTTTTAAGAGCAATGGGACGTCCTTTCCTCCGGAGCGTCACGTGAAGCGACGACCGTTTGTGATGACGCTGCACAGCTGATCGTCTGACAGCAGCTCTGTCCCCGTTATTTCCACACACACCCCCGCCTCTGTTAGTACACATTTACTGACACAAACATGTGTATCATCTGTTGTAGACCCAAATACATTAAATAAAATAAGAAATCATTCTCAAAAAAGATAAACGCCATTCTTAAAATGTATTGAAAAAAGCGATCATGAAAATGTTTCCAATAAATGAAGAAAATGATTTTTGACCACTTTGTTGTTCAGATATATCATTTGTAACTAAATGATACATTAATTGAAACAAAACACGGTATAAACTGAGGAGTGACTCTCGTGAGGTTCATGTGTTTTCTTCACTCCGCTGGGAAACTGCTCATGTTAAGAAGCATCAGATCAGTGCATGCACTGCATCGTCCAATCAGTGCGCGATACACAGTAAGGGGGCGGGGCGAGTGTCTGAGGATTTCATCGAAGGATGGTCTGGTGGTTCCTCGGTTATAGCTCCTCCATTATCGCTCCTCGGTCCTCCGGCAAAAATAAGGCCATTGGGACGCTACTCAAGATGGCGCAGACAAATCAACTTCCGGTGAGACCGAGACCGAGGAGCGAGGAAATGAAAAATAAGAGAAGTGAGAAGGGCCCACGGCCGGGCCTCCTTCCTATTTATACCGGAAGGAGGCCCGAGGGTGGGGCCCACCTTGCGGGTGGGCGTGGACTACACGTTTTCAGTGCTGCGCAGGGGGATTACCCAATAGCGATAGCCTTAGAGGGCGAAGCCATATACAAAATAGAACGGCCTATTTTTTCTTAGTGGAAGCAAAAGCACATTAATATTCGCCTCGTTGCACACTATCCCTTACATACAATGCATACCAGACTACAAATGAAAACCTAAAAACCATATTGCACACTTTATGTAATTATGATTCCTGTTCCCCCACTGACATTTCACATGGTGATATAAAAACAAGATTGGCCTAAAAACATCATAATGCATAGACTCAAATACATGAGAAAGAAAGCCGTTTCATACTTTACTCAGCAACGTAGTGGTATAGTATAGATATGATGTATTACAGGCTGCAAATGAAAACCTTAAAGCTAGATTGCCCACTTTATGTAATTATCATTCCAGACAGACTTGTTACATGTTGTTATAACAACAAGATCTGCCTCAGCAGAATGTAGTTTTACAGATGGTTGACAAAGTCTCCTGCAGATGTAATGATCCGTCTCAGTGCGCTCAGTATCAGTGAATTAGTGCCATCTTTTGTGTCAATCTCTGAGTGGTAGTTCTTCACAGGAAAGATGCAGCTTGGTGGGAAACCCAGCACGGCACTCAACTCCTCAATCTACATATTACAATTTGACATTCAATAAATGAAAGTGCTGATCGAAGGAACATTTACTGTTAAAATATAACAGTGTAAAAAAAATGATATTCCAATCTTAATTACAGCTCTCTAAAAACTGAAATACAGATATAAACGTACCTTTTTCTTCAGGTACTTTCTCTTATACACGTTCTGTATTTCCTTGTCGACCTCTGGACAGGCTTCATCAATTTTGGTGAGAATAGCAATTTCGGGCATCCCTGCCAATACAGAGCAGAATCAAGATTCAAACAAAAATAATGTTGGTATGGTTATTTTATTTTGATAACATTCATTATAAATGTTTCGGATGGTGGAACCTCTGGGGCGCTGACTCCATCGGATAGTTTTTACCAAAATCTGACGTTTCATGGCACGAAATGCGCTCTTCCGTATGCCCTTTTGACTCGCTCTGGACTCGCTAATATCGAAGGATCGGAGCAGCCCCGCCCCCCTGAGGAGTGACGCGTCCAGAGCCCATGTGAAAAAATCATCTTCCAGACTGTTAATATTGTTACTGCTATTACTCTCTGGTAACGTTAACATTAACCCTGGTCCTGAGTGTTTCTCTGCTTCCTTGCAACATTTGCCAACTCCGAATGAGTTTATCTGCAGGCAAGGATTGGGTTTTCTGCATGTTAATGCTAGATGCCTAGTGCCCAAATGAGATGTTTTCAAGACCTGGTTTTTAGTTGCTAAGCCTGATATTGTTGTAGTTTCTGAAACCTGGTTAAAACCGTCTGTCACTGACACTGTTATTCACATTGATGGATATAATGTATTCAGAGCAGATCGTAAGGGCAGAGCTGGTGGTGTTGCAATATACACTGCTGAGAAACTACAGTGCTCAGTCCTTCACTCAATTTCAATTCCAAGGCAATTTGAGTTGCGAGCAGTTCAAATAACTATAGCAAATGCTCCTCTCACTGTTATTGGCTGTTATAGGCCTCCATCGGCCATCATGGATGCAACTACTAGCCTTACTGAATTGTTGTCTACGTTTTCTTCTGAAATCATATTATTGGGTGATTTAAATTGGGACTGGTTGAGTGATAAATATTCACAGTTTAAGCAGGTTTGTGATTCTTTGAACTTAACTCAGCTTATTGATAGTCCCACTAGAATAAACCCTGCCAAACCCAATAACGATACCCTTATAGATGTCATTCTAACAAATGCAGCTCATAAGTATGTGTTGGTGTTTTTCCTAATGATATCAGTGACCATTGCACTATTGCTTGCGTTAGGAGCACTAAATTGCCCAAAGCCAAGGGCCTTATTGTGCTCAGGCGCTGCTTCAAACACTTCTCTGAGCAGGCTTTCCTACACGATCTGGCGGAGGTTAAATGGCACTTCATAGCGTTAATTCCATCTGTCGATGTTGCCGTCCAATTTTTTATTGATCACTTTTTATCGATTATTAATAGACATGCCCCCCTTAGAAAATTCAGAGTTAAGAATAGGAACACTCCATGGTTTACTAGAGAATTGTCTGATCTAATTCATGATCGAAATAAGCAATGGTCCTTAGCTAGAAAGTCTAACACTAGTGATGACTGGCTTCTTTTTCGTGTCCTCAGAAATAAATGTTCAGCCCTTATTAAAAAAGCTAAAGCTGATTACTATCTGAGCTTAACCACTGATTGTTTTAATGACCATTCCAAGTTCTGGAAAACAATTAAATCACTTCAGAACAAGAAGGTTTCTAGTTTCCCACAAAAACTGAAGGTCAGTGATTCTTTTATTTCAGATTCAGATGGTATGTCTAATGCTTTCAATGCTCACTTCAAAAAGGCTGGTCACATTTTTGATGAGCAAAGTCATGACTCTCTAAATGGTCGTACTCACAGCCCTAGTTAAGAGATGAACTCCCCTGTTTTTGATTTAGCTTATTTCTCGGTCTCTGAAGTCTTACAGGGTTTGCATTCAATTGACCCTAAAAGTCTGCCGGGCCTGACGGCCTCGACCTGTTCTTTTTAAAAATTGCAGCTCAGATTATAGCACAACCAGTAACTGATATTTGTAATCTCTCCCTGTCCACTCACACACTGCCAGCTGTGTGGAAGCAAGCTCTGGTATCGCCCCTCTTGAAAGCTGGTGATCCCACAGAGTTGAATAACTATCGTCCCATCTCAAATCTTTCTGTGTTATCAAAGATTCTTGAGTCCCTAGTTTCGACTCAGCTAAAACTTTTTTTAAATTCACACAACATCCTTAACCCTATGCAATCTGGATTCAGATCAAAGCACAGTACTGTGACTGCCAGTCTGAAAGTCTTAGACGATATTAAGGCTGCTTTGGATAACAAATCTGTTTGTGTTGCATTGTTTATTGACCTAGCCAAAGCATTTGACACTGAAGATCACCACATTATGTCTAATGTTATGTTGATGTCTCGTCTCGGTCATAATGCCATTTGCTGGTTTCAGAGTTATCTAACCAACCGTACTCAATGCGTCAGGTTGGGTAGTACTGTCTCTGACCCTGTCAACTTGAAGAAGGGAGTTCCACAGGGCTCTTTTTTGGGGCCTTTGCTCTTTTTATTACATGTAAACAATATTTGTAATCAGATGCAATTTTCTACCTATCATATGTATGCTGATGACCAGAGTTGGGTGTAATGCGTTACTGTAATAATATTACTTTTGTCGGTAACGGAGTAGCGCTACTTTTACAATTCAGTAATCACCCTACAGTTACTAACATTGCCCCGACACCAAAGTTCCCGTTAGAATATTTTTTCGCCGGTCAACATGTCCGTTAAAGTTTAAATCTTCCGGACAAAATGAGAAAAGTGCCGGTCAAAGGTCTTCTTTGTTATTTATTGAGCTTTAAAACAAATTGATATGATTCAATATTAAACTAATTATAGTAGATTAACTACATTATTCAAAAGTGAACAGTAACTTACAATAACACGGGAATAATAAACGGAGCGCTCTCTCCCTCTCCTGACAGCCCGTCAGTATCATGCAGCTCGCTGATCAGTAATGAGTGACCCGACAGTGAAACTAAACATATCTATAACTTGTTTAGGTAGTTTGAGAGGTCATTAAAATAGCTACGTGTGATATTCTAACCTGAAGTGTGTGTTTTGTTCGCTCACCGCTGATCATGCAGAGCTGCGTGTCGACTCGTCAGCAGCAGCTGATCTCTCTCTCCCGTCAGATTAGACTTCACTCGCGTTTATGTCCATATCGATCAGATCCAGCTAGTTCTAGCTAATGATATGACTACCTGCTTATTAAAAGACACCTAAACAATAAGTGTATATATAGGACTCATCATTGCAAACTGTATAGCCTAACTGGATGGTCCTCACTTAGTATGCGTAGGATGCAGCATTGGTTTTTATTAATGTATAAAGCCATTTTAGGTAAGCTTCCACTGTACATATGTGCCAGATTTGCTCCAGTTTGTGACTCTTACAACCTCAGATCCAGTGCCTGGATACGGTTCCAGGTACCTGCTGTGCAGACTGAGGCTGGGAAAAGGAGTCTTTTTTATTATGGTCCTTGGTCTTGGAATGACCTTCAATCACACCTCAAACTGAGGGCACTTGTCTCAATAGCATGTTTTAAGTTGAAGTTGTCTGAGGTCCTTACCACCAGCTGCTCTTGCAGTAATAAGTAGTGCACCTTTCTTACTGTCCTAATGTGCACAATGTAGTGACTGCTTTTTCGTCTTTTGTTTTCTTAGTTATGTTCTCTGTATTTTATATGTTTGTGTTATGTGTTATGTGTAACGTTGCTGCCTTCTTGGCCAGGTCAGCATTGCAAATTAGATTTTATCTCAATGCTTTTTATCTGGTTAAATAAAGGTTAAATAAAAAAATAATAATTGTAAAAGCCAAGCCCTTACCCATGTCTCTGGCTGCAAGTCTGACTTCCCTCAGTTTTTTCACAAAATCACCAGTCAGGAATTGTGCTGTGTTGGCGGAGATGATGCAAACCAGAACATGAACTCTGTCATTTAGAGAGGGGTCACTGTTGTAGTCTTGTTTATCCTCAGACAAGGTAGAGAAAGGATTTAACTGGAAAACAATGTAAAAGTAAACAAGAAAATAATTTGGCATGCAAAGTAGTAGCACAGTACAGTGGTTTCTTATATAGCCTTGTTAGTTTTCTATATTTCATGTGAATGAAATTGTGCTAGTAGAAACAGAACATTGGATTGCATTTCTAACACATTTGCAACATAGGAAAAAGATTAATGAATTCAGTTGTACCTTGTAACCATTCTTCACGTGTCCCTTCATGGCCAGTTTGACATCTTCTACACAAGTTCCTCTTTCTGCATCCTTCTCGGGCCCATGACGTCATTGAAGACAAAAGGGTAATATGTCCCTGGTCCTCCTTTTTGGATATGGTATGCTTTGTATTGTTAAAAATGAACATGCCTTGTAATGAGAAACTATACACTACAGAATTTGTAAAACTCAACAACATAAAAAAATAACTTTTTAAAGAAAAATTGTTATAATGTATGACATTCATGATTCATACTTGTGTGGTGAAGCTCCCGTAAGAGATTGCATCTGTTTTAGCTCGATCAGATATTTCGCCTCGTAAAGCACTTTCCACAGAGTTGATGAAGCTGGACTTGCCAGCACCAGAAGGTCCATAAAGCATAAATCTGAGCTGGACCTCCTTATCATGAGGCTGATATTCCTTCACAAACTTTAGGTCTCGTTCTTTGTCTCTGATCAATAAAAACTATTTTAGATTAAGATTAGATCAAATGTTACTTTAATATTATTATCAGTTTTGCATATGGTGTAACAGATACCCGAGATTTTAAACCACCATGTAACTGAAAAAAACTGCCAACAAATACAATATGGCATAACAAAGGTCAGTATCAACAAAGGAGATTGCAGGTTCATAGTTTTGCATTAAAAAATTGTTAGTTGAATAAAGGCACTAAACCAAAGAGACACCACAGATTAAATAATCTCTCACCCCCAAGGCACGCTCCTCCATTCTTTAGGTAAAACTGAAAAGTAAAGTACAGATGTTGCAGTTATACACGAGTTCCATTTTTAGGAAACATTAAACAAACGAATAAAGGGTTCTTTTTATTTATAATTTTAAGCAATGTTCTGAAATATTTTGAGTATTACCTTTCGGAGAAGAAGGTTAGTAAAAATAATTCATGACTTCAATGAGATATTGTTGAAGAAACCTTATCAACACGATATTTGAGTCAGAATATTTCACATTATTTATTTGTAAATTCAGATGTCTTGCAACCTTTCACAGAACTGACTCAAGTGTGCTGCACAAGCAAATGATTAATTATTTATGAATATGTAAACATTTTTGCAGAGAATATATGAACAATTATGTGTTTTTAAGTGAAAAGCACATAGATAAACTAAAAAGAAGCTGGAAGAGTTTACATGTTTTACATACAATTGAAAAAAAGTAAAATTGCTACACAACATTTACTTTACAGTACTTGCATTAAGCCAATGTGAGAGCATTGGTTAGATATTGCATTAGTTAGACTGCATTTCCTTAATTGTTTTCTTCCACCCTTAGGTCATCATCAAACATTAATATCATTTATATTAAAAAATATAATAAAACTTCTTACCTCAGCTGAAATGTCCGTGAAAAGAAGTGGTGATGTTTACCTCAAGTAATGACTCTGAAATTGAAAGAAAATGCTTTTTTCAAGTTTCTTTTTCACTACTTGGGCAATATAATTTGACCAACGTTTCTTGGGGAAAATAAGAAGTGGCTAAAATTAGTTCACAATCACTAATCACTTGTGAATTTAGAGACATAGTTACCTTAATGTGTCAGTAGTTGTTGAATCCTCATAGGAGTTGGAGGTGAATTATCTGTAAAAAATCCAAGAGCAGAAACGCGAACTTCAAAAGCCATTGAAATTAACGGATTTCTCACTGTCTTGTTCTGTTGAGTTTAACGCCCATTCTGTTGAAAGAAATATCGCATCTTAAAAGCTGAACAGACAGCGTGGAGGATATATTTATGTGCTTGTGAATGAATAGAATATATTATTGAACATAGAATAGCCTTAGTCAGATAAAAAAAAAATACGAAGTCATTCTTGTTTCAAGAAAGCCCCCCTTCCCCTGGAATGCCTGCTCCAGCCGGGGTGTCTGTGAGAGTATCCCCCCCCCCCCTTTTTTTCTCTCTCCTGTTTGCTCTCTTCTCTAATGCCTGAAAAATGGCTGCTGAGCGTTGAATTGAAAACAAGGAGTGCATAATCAACGAGTGATCTGAAGTTGGAGTGAATAACATTGAAAATTAATAGATCAATGTGTGATTTGAGGTGGTAGATATTTAAATAAATAAGAAACTATAATTTGTTGTTTTTAGCATAGTTTTTGCGGGACACAGTTACGTCACATTGTGGTTTTTATGAGAAGTTTTGAGAACGGATTGTTACTATTGCATTGCATTGTGAATTTCGTGGTATTTGTCATTAACTGAGAATTTTACTTACTTATATTTCAGAGGAACTTAATTGCATACCGTAACGTTGAGGGAAAGTAAAAAGAGGTTTACTGAGTATATGAAGTACATGCAGGTTAAGGTTTGATTCTAAATATAATAGTGGATTATTCCACCTAGATTAGACATAGAAAGAGGAGAATTTGTTAAACATTAGATAACAAACTCACGGTAAGAAATATATATTGTAATGTTATTTAGGAGTTGTATTGATCATACAACAGTGAAGTTCAGCTCTAAGTGTTATGAACTGGCCTTGGCTGGTTACATTTTTTATTGAAGCCAGACTACAAGTCGTATGGTTTAATTTGTATTGAACTCAGTCTCCAAGCAGTGTGGTTTTTATCCGCATGTGTTGAGTGTTCCCCTCCCCTTCCCCCAGTCACATGGGGCCAGTGCTATACTGCTAAGCTAGTTGGCATACTAGATGGTGAAATAGTTGGAGTAAAGATGTACACGAACAATGAGAGTAGATTAAGTTGTTTTGTTTTTCATGCTTTTCACCAAGGCTCATTTGAGTGGTTATTGTTTTAATGTAGTGTTGTTTTGTGTTATATTTCTAAACTATAATGTACCCACACGCATGTGGTTTATATGTCACAGTTCATTTTAAAGTCAGCCACCTCATGGCTAGATCTCATCTCTGAGAGTCCATTGTGTTAATGTTAAGAGGTCCTTTTGTTCTTCAGGCCACATGTTCAGGATGATCCACATCCAAGTTATTTGACCCCATGAGGTCAAGAGTCATTCTGTTAGACCACAATCTTGTGTAAGACAAATCATTGTTCTTTTGTCACATTTTGAATTACATAAGATTTCATTTTGCTAAATCAATTTATCTATAAATGTTGTAGTTGGAGTTTGGTGTTTGCTAACATTTTTAGGAACGACATAGTCCTACACTTGGGTCAAATTACATTACTGTGATCTGATTAGTGTGCTCTGCAGGTTTACTATTGTTCTGACCAAGCAGTGGGATTTTGAAGTACAGGGAGGTTCTTTCATAGTGTGTGAGATATGCGATGCTGGACACATGTGGGTGTTGAAAAACTTAGTTTGTAAATATGTCACAATGGACGAAACGATTAGAGGGAGTTTTTGTAATATCATTAGGAGACATTAATTGTGTTGTTTAGATGGCAGTTAACTACTAAGACAAATAGTATGATTAGAAAGAGACAGAGTGGAAAGGGTTGGATTTATTTAACCTCAGTGTGCTAGAATTTCTATAGGTAATGCGTCCCGAGACCTGGGCTCTCTCTCTCTGCCTGTCAGACGGCTAAGACCCCGACCCTCCAAGCAGACAGAAGACCTATCCCAACCAAGAGACTCCTCCTTCTCCATCGAACGGACAGAGAACCAGAGCTGAACCAACAACAACAATAAGAACTGCATCCAGAACTATCTCCACCTGTGGCATCCAGAACCAAACAGCTTGCTGACAGGCAGAGATCTATTCTCATCAGTCCCTCAGGCAGGGCATGAAGTTCCAAGCTGAGCCACGAGATTTGGCACAAGAGCAAAGTGTGGGACATGAGAGCAGAATCCGCCCTCCATAAAGCAGCAGAGAGACTGTAAAGGAGGAGATGAAATTCAAAGCAGTGCAAGAACAGTGGCATGATGGGGGCTGCAGATGGAGCTGGGCAGATGGCTGCCTCAAAGAGTTACAGCTGATGGACAAAGGGGGAGGAGTCAAAATCAGAGGAGATGGTCGAGCAAAATGTGAGGTGGCCGGGGTCAAGGCTTGAGATAAACCAGAGGAGAGGGGAAGGGAATCAACGGGAATGAGTGAGTTTACACATAAACACACTTATTATAAGCACACGTTTAAAGAACTTGAATTGACTTGATAAATAAGTGAAGAAAATAAGTTGTATTAACCATGAATTAATCAATTGGTAAATTAAAAATAGCAGTAAAGAGGAAACTATTAAAGTAAGATGAGAATCATCCTAAAACACACTGAGGGATAAAGGGGGAGACATGACAGAGTAGAACCATATTCTTAAAACTTTTCATCATGTTAACAAATCATTCTTCAAGAGATTTTTATTCACCTGTGAATAAAGTACTGATCTCATTTGTTACAATATTGATCACCATTAAAAGGATAATTTTAGGAACCACTCTATAAGACAAATCTGTATTTGTATGGATAAGGTTAAAGGGAGAGCTGGTGCCAAGCCAAATATAGTATTCCAATCTATAAAGTATTGATTTAACCATTGTGCCATAGTTATTACCATAGGAAATCCTTGAAAAAGTAGGGAGTAATTGTCGCATGTTCGGACACCCGGGGTTCCACACACTGCTAAAGAGTTTAACATTGTTTTTTAGGTAGACCAGAATTGAAGATAAATGAGTATAATGACCGATGAAAAGCTACACAGGTCCTAGTAATGGTTTGACTCAAGATAATAATTATGTGCACAAGTTTCTGAAATAGATCTATTAGACATATTAATATAGATTAGGTGTTGATAAACTGCAGTAGTAGTACAATAAGGAAGTGACATTTTTTTGGCTAACACTTTTCAGGGAATGTGGGAAACAGCTGTTCCGATGAAAAGTTAGAGATATCTGGAAAATTATAGTTGTAATCGTGAATTAATTAATGATGGCGCTCCATATATGACAGATTTTTGTAGACAAAGGATACTGGCCTATGCTGAAATATCAAAGTCTCTGCAGAGCACGACACATAGCCAAAAAGACTGAGACCAACTGACCTTTGACCCTGACCGACAGTGTAACTTGAGAAGGCACTGTCAATGACTGACTCTGGGGTGTACCTGACCAAACTTGACTTTACAACCTGACAGTGTGAGTGGGAATGTGAGTGTATGTCTGCATGTGATCAGTGCAACTGCATGATTTAAAACAATGACTAATCAAGCATGCTTTTGGACTAACACATTATTCTGGGGCTCTGTGGGAAATGAGAGGTTTCCTACAATTCCACAGAGTTGGAAAACCGCACTTGTGTCCCGTTTCTAATCTACTTGATGATATTTTACTCCCACAGGCAGTGGCAGTTTGCAAAATGTGAAGCTCAAACTAAAATCTAAAGAATCTGTTTCTTTTAGGACTGAAAGATGAAGAGAAACACTTCATTTCACTGAAGTGTTTACTGTGGAAATGATGGATGTACATTTGGGAAAAATGTTTGGTATTTTCTTATAATCCATTATTACCTGAAGGTTTTCTTCCCATACAGGATTTTGGTTACACATGAGTTCATGTGTAAAAAGGGGGAGTGTAAACTTCACAATGTACATTTTTCATTTAGGGACTGAAAGGAACCTGCTGCCCCAACTCGATTGTTCAATCTGACCATTGACCATTGATTGACAGTTTTAGAATTGACCTGCTCCATATCTGGGGATAAGATACTGTTTGATGGATGTTGACATGTTTCTAATATTGATTGAGTTATAACAGGTAACACAGATGCAGAATCAGTGGCCAAGGGGCTACTGTTAGAGATGTAATTCCAGAATGGAATACTGAAGAAGTTGACCTCTGAGGGCCCAGGAGCCCTGAGCATAGGCTTGAGGGATTTGTATCAGATTTCTCCACACAGGTTGGTGATGCCAAAGGGGGACCCAGGAGGCCGACACAGCGGAGTTCGTCTGGCTGAAGGTCATCAGGACAAAGTGGCTCAACCCCAGGCTCTCCGGCCCCGACCGAGTGACTCAGCGGACCTCTCATGCCTTCCGCATAGGAGGAAAGGGGGACAGCTCGTACCACGGGAGCCAGTGTGCGGCGGGGAAACCACCTGCTAGGACCGGGGACGACATCAAGACGGACGTGGCCCTCGCAGAGGAGGAATACTCGGAAGCAGCCATCAGTGGACTGGAGGAGCAGGATTCTGAAGACATCCTTACAGCAGACTACTCGGAAGCGGCTGTCAGCGGGCTGGGGGACTTGTCGAGGCAGCAGAGGAGTCTACTTCTCTCTGATCAGTTCCACCCGTGAAGGGAAAGCCGCATCTCCCCCTCCCTATCAGCTGCCCTTGTTGGCGTATTCCTCTGAGGGGGGGGGGTTGATGATTCACCACACAAGGAGACTGCTTTCTAGCACTCAGGTTGCCCTCTCATGGTTCCTTCACTGCCATGGAAAGTGGTGTTCTGTTCCCAAAGATTTCAAGTACTTTGGGTCTCAGTTTCTGATAGATTTATACAATGTTGGGAGACGGACACAGTAGAAAAGAATAACAGGGGATATGTTTCAAAATGCCTTGTGTAAGTTTATCTCTTGAGAATGAGATAAAAAGGGGGAATTGAGGGAAAATTGAAGTAACTTGAAAGTTTGAAGTGAAAGTTTGATACAGCGTATCTGATATATAAGAAGTGTGTTTTTATATATTCATGTGTTTACTTAATTACTTTGTATTTAATAGTGGCAGTTTATATGAACAAAAAGCTGGAGATATGAGGAGTGAAAACTTCCCTGTCATTGAGAAGTGTAGGGGACAGAGAGGAAATACCCTTATATAGACATATGCTATCAGAAGTCTGAATAATGTGTGTGTGTGGAAGCTGCAGGAATACGAACCAGATGTGTTTTGTTTTGCTTCAAACTAAAAGACTGTTTCCGGATCAT